CCTGAAAGAATTCAGACGTGATATCATAAAATGTCTTGAAAAAACCCAACATTATCACACCGCTCATATTATTATATAATATTAAAAAAAAAAGTTTGTAAAGAAGCAAACTGTTAAATGAGGAAACAACAAACAGAGATGAAAAAAAAAATCTTTGGCGATCTAACGTCAAAAATAGAAATAAATATAAAATAAACGACCGCCTTTCTTATTTATGGTCCAATTCAGACCGTGAAGGGTCCATGCATTGTATGTGTTAAAAGTGATTCATAGGATGATATCACGAACTAATCTCTCAACTTCATAAAATAATTTTTTTTAAATTATATGATCTTTTAAAATAATATTTAATACAGAAATGCAAATAACTTTTGGATTCACGTATATTTCGCCGACCCGTTAGAAGATTTAATTGGGCTAAAGTTATATAAAAAAAATGCAAACAACTCTCGAGTGGGGTAACGTCAAAATTAAATTAAATTTAAATAATTATAATAATATATAGGGAAAAAACCCTCTGTTCCAGAATTTATAATTTGGTGTAATATAAATTTCTGAACTTGCAGAGGTATCTATTAATTCTCAAATTTGCAAAATTAAACATGGTAATTATTGAACTTGTTAAATCGTTCCATAACCGTTCTTAAGATTAATTGGTCAAAAAACCGGGTTGACCTGTCCAACGTGGCATGTGACGGGAATCGCATACGTGACAAAAATTTTCTGAACTGACGTCACATGCCACGTTGGACAAATCAATCTGTTTTTTTGACCAATTAATCTTAATGACGGTTATGGAACGATTTAACAAATTCAGTAATTACCATGTTCAATTTGATAAGTTTAAGAATTAATAGACACCTCTACAAATTCAAAAATTTATATTACATCAAATTACAAATTCAGCAATTTTGAGGTTTTTTTTCCCAGCCTTTCTTCGCCGGAGGGTTCTATCTCTAACCACTGACCGACGCGAAGCTGAGGACTGCACCTCTATATGCCACGTGGCAAATACATGCCTACGTGTCATCTTACTTCAAGACATATTTTTGAAAGCCGCCGCGTGCATTAGACCTGACCGTATCTAGTATTTATTTATTTATTAAAATTAAATATAATCCTTTGTATTTGATTTATTTGATACCATTAATCTATACCGGAAATATGTAAATTCGACAATATTAGTGCATATTAGTTACCTCTTAACCAAACAAATTTTACATATTCTCGTCTATAAATTAATGATGAAATAATCAAATCCCACAAACAAAATATATATTTTTTTGGTTAAAAACAATTATATATAAGTTGCACGCGACCGTGTTTAATAACAAACTAACCGGTTTAATAAATAGTTTTATTTGTTGAAGAACCAACCGAACCACTCATCCGAGAAGACCCACACAAGGAACACTTCCGAATCAAAGAGAGGCTTTGAAGGAAGATCGTATACATCAAATACAGATCGTCATGCTACTCAAACATGATATGTTTAGGTATGATTTAATCTGTTTATATTCGAAGGGATATAATCATAGTATTCGGAATTGCTAGGCGATTATTATTGTTACTACTGATAATAGATAATCAATAATTAAAATTTAAATAGTTTAACAATTGAAACCGAATTAAAACATCTATTCCGTTCAAAGTTTAAATTCCAAATTTGAAAAGGGATATTCACCTAGATTTCTTAATTTTTGGAATTAATTTGAGTAATTGATCCAAAATACTCCGTTATCATAATAATAATAATAATAAATAAATAAATAGATACTAATAAATATGTATGATTTATTATTCATATTTAAGATAATGAAACATAAATTGTGTGTTTAAATGTTAGATAAGTGGAGATTGTATTAGTGAGGATGGCATGGTGTTAATCGGGCCGGTTCGGCCTAAGTTCGAAGTCCGATTTTATAGGCTTTAGGCTCGAGCCGACCGATCCGACTCGATCAATTCCTTTGTACTTTGTTTTTTATTTGTTATTATTTTTTTACAAAAAAATATCGGGTTTTTAAATCGGTTCGAAGTCTGAAATTTGATTTGAACTCAATCTGAAAGCCCGATTTTTTTCGAGTAAAAAAATTTAGACTTGAAATCCGATATTTTTTGAGTGGGTTCCGACCGGATTTCGGTATTCGCACCTAAATTGACACCTTTAGAGAACAATACGATGAAAATATACACAATTTATTTTCGGGTAAAAATGGATTTTTTTATAGAAAAACTTAGATTTATGTTATTTTAATGTTTTTTTTTATGAAATGTGATTGTTATATTTCTATCGTAGTCTCACGGACAATACATATGTAATAATTCGCTTTACAAAAAGATCAAAAGACAAGGATTCCCATGATAACGGGCAAAAGACTAAAGAAATGATAGCTAGTTAAAGCGATACCATAATTGAATGGGTTTGTTGATTACTCTTCCTCCCGGTTTGTGCAAGGAGATTAAGATGTTCCTCATCGCTTTATCAATTCTGACCAGCATCTGCGGTAAGAGACATACAGTGTTCCGATGCGTTCTTCCATTCCTTTCCTTCCAAAGCTCATACACTATGAGTTGTATGAGATGTCTCTTGATAAGCTTTCCGACTTTAGGGCACGAGATCATTGGTTGGTTCAGCCATTGCAAACACCTCACCGGGTCCGTGACGGATATTTGATGACAACCTCTAAATTTACCTGCATAATGAGACCAAATCGCAGCACTGTATTCACAAATGAAGAACAAGTGAGCATGGTTTTCGACCTCTTTATAACAGAGTATGCATCTATTCAGGGCTTGAATTCCCCAACGAGTGAGTCGGTCCATTGTAGGCCGCCGCTGTTGCAGGGCCTGCCATATCACGAAGGAGTGTCTCGGTATTGCGCCACTGAACCAAACAAGAGGGTACCAAGTAACCTCTGGTGCGGATGCCCGTACTTGTTTCCATGTGACGAGCAATAAACGATGGAAGATACTCACCGTCTTTGTACCGCCATGTGGGATAGTCTGCCCCTTTCTCAGATCGAGGTGGATCCGTAGCCGATAGTATAATTTGTAACTCCTGGATCTTGTCGTTCCTTGCTCCGGGAAGAACCCATTGCTCGTCTCTCGTGGCATCCTTCACCCTTGCTGATTTCGGTAACCTGAGTAGTGTAGGTCCTGAGCTTCCGATATACTCAATTAGGGGGCCAACATCCAGCCAACAATCAAACCAAAAAGAGGCAGTTGCCCCATCCCCAACATTCATCCTGGTGAATTGTCGAACCTGGTCTTTCAAAGCAAGTAGCTTTCCCATGTTCCACGTTGCGTTTGTCTTCAAACTGCATTCACACACTACGAAATGGATGAAAAGAGTAGTGAAAATGACCTTAAAACCAACCTAGAGCAGAAGCACAAAATAAAAATGTTATCCACTGGCAAGTACGTGTCATTCCTCAATGGTTCGATTTCCTTAATCGTTAAGCAGGGTAGCCGTTTCGGGATTCGGTTCGAAATTTTAACGGATCGATTCGGGAATAGTTTATTCGGTATTCTAAATTTGTATCAAATTAGCACCGTATATTATTCGATTCGGTTCGGTTTCGGTTTCAGTTTTTGTTTAAAAAATATATATTTTTTTAAGAAAATTTCGGTTTTTCGGGAATTTTATAAAGTTCGGTTCGGTTCGAAAAATTTAGTTCTGTAAAAAACATATCGTTCGGAAATTTTGAATAATACGATCCAAAAAAAATACTGAAATTTTTTATTCGGTACGGTTCCGAAACAACCACCCCTATTTAAAACCCTATTTAAAAGTCCTAGAGTTCAATACTTATAAAAGAAATGAGCGAATCCTTAACTTTGCGGTTAATAAATTAGAACATAGCAATTTTGATTTCGGTTTAAATTGAATTAGAAATTGTTATTAGGAACGTAAAAGTGACGCAAAACTAATGGGATTCGGATCAATTCGAAAACAAAATTCACAAAAACAAAATTTGTTAAACCCCTAAAAAAGTATGTCCAAATTAAATTGAATATTCAAATGTCCATAAATTCGAGAGCCAGCTAAGGAGTTTGATGATATTTGGATTGGCAAATTCAATGTGCGGATGTATCATCAAAACACGCCGTAACTTAAAAATATCTTAAAATTATTTACCTTTTTTTAGATGACTTGCTATATATATATATATATATATATGTGTGTGTGTGTGTGTGTGTATGTTATATATATATATATATATATGTGTGTGTATATGTTAATATCAAGATTTCGAAATAAATTGTTGTTATATTTCGAATGAATTTAAATATAGTTTATTTTAAATAGAATTTTTAATTCATATCTTAATAATAAAAATATATAAATCAAATTTAAATAAAAAAACACACTAAAATAATTCTATAGGAATTGAAACTCTTCGTATTTTCCAAAGGTTCAACATTGGAAAAAAAAAACTTAGGTATTAAGAAAACAAAACAAAACTATATATGATGAAAAAAAAAACCAAGTCAGTGTTTACAAAAAAAAAATAAGGGGGTAATCAGATACCTGAACTGGACATGACAATGCGCCGTATGATGACACGTGTTTCACGGACCCTCCACCCACTATAAAAGCCACCATTGCTACTCTCGAGCTGAACTCACACACACTCAGCTCGCAGCAGAACCAGAAAAAAAAAAAAAAAAAACTCAAACGATGGATGTTCATCAGGGAATAGCCACCCGATAGTACAATAATAATGATTAAAATTATACAATAATAGTTATGACCAACTCTTGGTCAGCTCCGGACCAGGGAGTATTTCGGTCAACAAGTCCGCCTGTCCAAGTCCGTCTGGTCCGGGGCTGACCAACTCTTGGTCAGCTCCGGACCAGACCTCAATAACGGAGAAAAATCTGATTTTTCTCGTCCGTTCGCTCCCGTACATACACGTCCATCCCATATGTGTGTGACCCTTTAGGCTCCTCCGAATACGGCAGTAAACGCGAGATCCAATCTCGCTCTCGGGCTCTGGCACTGGCACAGCCGCCGGGTCAGGGTCGGGGTCGGAATCGGAGAGAAGGCAGATGCTTCAGAGGTTACAGAGCGTCGGGTTTCCGGTGTGTCTCATCGGAGGAACGGTGGAAGCGCCGCCGCTGATGGTTTGGGGAGGAGAAGGAGAGGACGAACCGTTGCACGGCGAGGTGTCGGTTATGGGGATGTCACGGAGGATGGAGGACGAGATTTCCGCCATGACTAAGCTTTGTCATCCCGACATCAACGGCGGTCGACCGGTTCATTACTTCGCCGTGTACGACGGCCATGGCGGCACTCACGTAAGAAATTCTAACACAAACCCTGCAAGAACATGCATGTTTCCAAGATATTTAACCTAATCATATATATATATATATATATATATCCTCTGTTCTGAGCAGGTGTCGACTCTATGCAAGGATAATATGCCGACGCTGGTGCAGGAAGAGCTGGAACATGTGGGCCATAACCAAGAAAACGAGAACGAGTGGAGGAGGGCGATGGTGAGGAGTTTCCAGAGGATGGAGGACATAGCGCTGAGCCCTTGCATCTGCGGTGGCACGGACCAACATCCATGTAGCTGCGACCCTGACGAGACCGCCTACTGCGGTTCCACCGCCAACGCCGCCGTTCTCACCCAATATTTCATCCTCGTCGCCAACACCGGCGACTCTCGCGCCGTCCTTTGCCGTCGGGGAGGAGCTATTCCCCTCAGTTTCGACCACAAGGTATGTGTGTGAATATATATATACATATATACATATATATATAAAGACTGGATAAAAATTGTTTACTGGGTCATGTTTCTTATTGGTTAAAACCCACTTGTTTTATTTGTAGCCGGACAGGCCAGATGAGCGTGCAAGGATCGAAGCTGCTGGTGGCCAAGTTTTAAGCCTTTATGGACCTCGTGTTCAGGGAATTCTAGCCACCTCCCGGGCAATAGGTAACGTGTATATATACATATATACATACATATATATATATGTTCAACTCAATATAGTGATTATACACACACACACATGATAATTAATCATCGTGTTTGATAAACTGAGTGGTTCACAGGGGATCAGTATCTGAAGCCACTGGTGTCATGGGAGCCGGAGATAACGATGATGAGAAGGGAGCCTGAGGACGACTGTCTGATAATAGCAAGTGACGGACTTTGGGACGTGCTGTCGAGCCAGGAGGCCTGCAACATATCCCGACAGTGCCTGTCGGAACGACCGCCTGTCAGAAGACCTCGAAGAACTCAGCTTAATCTTAACGAGATACCTCAAGACGATGACGACGGCGATGGTCGTGACGCGAGAGATTCCCATTACCGTTACAGGTGCCTGTTTGCCGCCGCGCTTCTCACCCGTGTCGCCGTCACCATGAATAGCCACGACAACATCAGCGTCATCGTCGTCGACCTCAAGAGCGGTGTATGATGATGATGATCATCATCATCATCATGCATGATCCATTCCCCAAGGGGATATGCTGGTTATGTGTTTGGTTTAAGGTCTTTTTAAGGGTTTTTTTTTTAAAGCTATGGAGAAACATGTGTTTCTGAGTTCCGAGTTCAAGTCAGCGAGTTTCAAAGTCTAGTTTCTGTACTTTGGAACCATATAATATATAATATGGTTTTTGTCTTAAATCCTGCTCGTCTCTTTTGGTTTGTTTCTGGTTATGTTTTATTTTCATTGCGAACATAATATATATATATATATATATATATATATAGTGTACCAATTTTGATTAGTTAGACCGCAACCAGAGTTAAGATAATGGGCCGGGACCTTGAGGCCCATATTACCGATGGATCCCAATTTCTATACAAGGTTGTGTTGAAATAGTAATTTCTGATTATTTTTTTTTGTTTGTAACTTGATGTTTTAGTTTCTCAAACTATGGAACTTTAATTCAACCAGAGATGATATATTAGTAATGTTTTATTTTCATAAAATCGTTTCGAAACATGAAGTCAATTCTGTTATACTTAAATTCAATTATAACTAAGGAATGGTTTTTTAGTCATTTGTATTGTTAGTTATTATATTAATAAAGAGTGTATAATATTCATTATATCCGCGGAAAGGAAATATCTCTGAAGTGGTAATTTAATTTCATAGAAAATAGTTATTTTTTTTTGTTGAATCAAAGTATATTATACAATATAATATGTTTTTGAGTGTGAGGGTTGTTTGCCAGTGAATAATCTTAAGACATAAAAAACATTGGTGTTTTACAGTTTATAATATATAATTAATAATCTCTTAGTAGTTATATAAAACGAATGAATATGATTAGAGTGGAAAAAATTGATACGTTGGTTGGTTAAGGCTTTATTCAGAATCAAAGAAATATGTTTTGACAAATAAAAAGTTTTAAATTTATATCCATATAATATTATGAAGTATGGACCAATATGGTACATTTATAAAAAAAAAAAAAAGTGGGTCTGTTCCGATTCGTATTTAATGTGATGTCTCTGTGTCACACTTCTGGTGGATATGCGTTGGTTGGCACGAAGCAATTGATCGTTAGAGAGCGTGTGAGCCCAAATGCAACTAAATAAATAAAATGCTTTAATTTATGCCATTTTGATTATGGAATTGGTAAATAATTCTGAATTTTGAAATTTTATCTTTAATTAGAGATTAGTAAACCCATTTTATTCATTTTTCAACGCACGATGTAATATCTGAAAAGCCGTGTAAAATGATGAAATAATCAAAATAAACTAAAACATGATCTATGCTATGGTATTGGTAAGGGACAACATGACAACACAAAAAAGAGTGATATAAAATTGAACTGTAATTATTTATTTTTGTATACAAATATAACAACTTTCTTATTCTATTACACTCAATTATTATTATTATTATTATTATTATTATTAATCATTCGTTGGACGGAAGGCTAGAAATTGTTTGAAATCCATATATGATCATATATAAATATTATTCTTAAGCCTCCACCTCCCTCTTTTGTCTGTAATATTTGGGTACTTTAATTCCAATTTTTTTTTAAATAGAATCAGCACCCTTGAATTTTTAAAAAAATAGTCGAAGAAAAAACCACTTTCTATAATTAAAAAAAAAAACCATGGTAAGGAGAATGTTCTTCTCTGCTTGTCTTTGACACTTTTTTTTTTTTTTACTTTAGGCTTTGGATAATTCATTTTCTTTGAATCACTCGCACACCTTTTCCTTGGAACCCATTTTTCACATTGTGAACCCATTTTTCACATTTAGCAAAGTCCAATGTCATGTCGCGTTGGGTTTCTAGACACTTGGGAGTTGGACCACCCCCTAAATGTTTTTTAAAATTATTTAAATATTTATAAAAAAAATAAAAAAGCAGCCGGTCAAACTTAAAATTGATATATATATATATATATATATATAAGGGTTTAGACCTTTTCCACAAGTTTGAACACAAAGATCGCTACTTATTTTTGAAAAAAAGAGGATCGTAGTTAAAAATTGGGATTTTTCTATACTATTATATATATATATATTTTGTTTTATACGGGTTCTTTGTTTTCGTGGTATTATATCCGATAAAATAGTATACAAAAAAGAAAAAAAAGGATAATTTTAAGTTGACAATTAGGGCATTTTAAAAGAATCGGAATAAACCCAATGTTGTGACTAGTGACTACTGATTTCAATTAAAGCATATTGAGATTATTAGAATTTGATGAACCTAAAAATGTAAGCTTTAGCTTTTATTTGTAATAAAAATGGTTGAATATGCATGTTATAAAAAAAATACAGTGTTCTGCTAAACATTAGAAGCATTTGTATCATATCTATTCATCGCCAAAAAAAGAAAAGAAATTCATTTTACTTGTTTGTGACAGGAAATTATGTATAATTCAGTTAACAAAAAGATTATGTATAATTTATTGAGTTTTTATAAAATAATGATACGATTATTGAAAATATTAGAGAATTTAAATTTATATGTTAAGTTTTTATTTGCTGCGTATTTTTATTGTATGAGAATTCTATTTTCTTATAATATAAGGATTTTTTTTCATGTTGTTTATTTAACCTAATTTTATTATAATGATAATAACTGATATTGTTATTATTAATTATGATATCTGGCCCTAAATCTCTTTCTGGTTTTGAAGTTCTGTTAGTGGACGACGATACTGACTATCCATCTGAAAATTTTCAAAGAATATTCAAATGACCCATAAATAGAATATATGAGTCTGATAGTGGAATATTATCTTCCGATATTTTATTTTAAAAATATTTTATTTTAGAATGATGTGAAGATTTAACAGAGAAATAAACCAAAATAAACTCTATAAAAAATAAATTACACGAGACTTATATTTTTGTTTTAAAAAAGACTTTGAAATAATATTACTTTCTGAACACACAGTATAATCTCGTCAGCAGACAATGATAAAATTCCAAGCAAGAGAAATAGTATAATCTCGAATTCTCCGTCTAATAAAAAATAAAATAAATACCTAATCCGCTGAAAACGACAGCTTCCGTGTCATCCTTCGGAACAAGTCGGTCCATTCTCTCAAACACTTGCAGAATTGCATGCCGTTTTCACTAACAAGTTGGTCCATTCTCTCAAATGCTTGCAGAACTGCGTGCCGTTTTCATTATGCCAAAAGTAATTTGACTAATTACATAGACACTCTCACATGGCCTTCTTAATTACCTCCACAATCAAACCCACGTGTAATCTCTCTCTCTCTCCTACTTTAAAAGTCAAATCTAATCACTCCTATTTACATTTTTTAATTTAGCAATGCATGCATATGTCATTAAATGTACATTGCCTATTATATATATGTGTGTACGTTGCGGCAAAAAAATGTATATTAGCAAAAAAAACGTCTTAAGTCAAGGTAAACTAAAGAAAATAAATTAATTTTAATTTGATATTTGCGTGATGGAAACGTAGATGTAGTGATTCATTAGTAATTAATTAAGGGGGAAAGAG